TGGAGAACATGATGCGCACGACACAGTAATTGGCTGACTATTAAATCGACAATCCTGGATTAAGGTTTATTTCACAATCACTAACAGTTACATTCTGACTGAATTACATTGTCTGCATTCCTTACTATGGTGGTATTGTTTCTTTCTCCATCTTTCCTTTTTACACTACTTGTTGGGAGTTATAAAATGGTCTGTATATAATGCCTGGCATGGGCAAAAGTGCTCTCTGGTATTTTACCTTTTTATTGCAAATTGGGTGATGGTTTACAGAGAAGGTCAGTTTTGTATTTCACAATTCACATTTTGCGTCAACTCTGGTATGTTTTTAATATAATGATATATATATATATATTTCACATTTTAAATGTATTGAAATGAGCTATATATTAAATTGTTTTTCCTCTTTTTTAAAATTTAGAAACCACATAAAATAAAGGAGTAAAATAATCTTATGCTCAAAAATTTGGCTTTCCAAGCTTCACACATGAATGTCTTCTTTCAAAATACCTGGCCTTGTTGGTTACAGAGGTTTGAAACATTCAGCCAATCTTTCTTCCCGATTATTTATCTTATCTCTATACATTTATTGTTAGTTTAGTAAGTTATGCACACTAGCTATGAGTGTTTACTCCCACTCCTATCATCTTTCTCTACTTGTAATCACTTCAAGTTCAAGCTCGTAAAGTTACCTGAAGACATTTGAGATCTGTTATTATTGGTAGGTGCCACCTTGTTGGTGCTGAGACTTAGCGACCCTAGGCACAACAGAACTAAATACTTCCCAGTGTGGGGCCTTCACACGATGTTCTTATACTTGAGCCCTTGTTGCAGCCACCGTGTCCATCGAGCATGTTGAGGGCCTTCCTCTTTTTCCCTTCCCTATGACCTCACCAAGTGTGATGTCCTGCTCCAGAAACTGGGCTCTCCAGAGAACGTGTCCAAAGTATAGGAGATGCAGTGTTGTCATCTTTACCTCCAAGGAGCATTCTGGCTGTACTTCTTCCAAGACAGATCCGATGGTTCTTTCGTCAGTCAATGGGACGTTCAATATTCTTCGCCAACAATGTAGTTCCAATGCATTGATTTTTTTCAGCCTTCTTTATTCAATGTCCAACTTTCACATGCATATGAGGAAATTGAAAATACCATGGCTTGGGTCAGGTGCACCACAGTCCTCAAAATAACATTTTTACTTGACAACACTTAAAGAGGTCTTGTGCAGCAGATTTAACCAAAGCAAAATGTCATTTATTTCTTGACCACTGCTTCCAAGAGCACTGCCTGTGGATCGGAGGAAGTGCAATCCTTGACAACTTCAGTCTTTCCCAGTTGGTCCAGCTGTGAGGATTTTGAATTTCTTTACATTGAGTTTTAATGCATACTGAAGGCTGTGACCCACCTTTGACCTTCATCAGCAAGTGCTTCAAGGAGGCTTGCTTTCTGCAAGCAAGGTCATTTGCATATTGGAGGTAGTTAATAAACCTTCCTCCAATACTAATAATACCTTCTTTATCATATGACCCAGCTTCTGTGATTATTTGCTCAGCAGATAGATTGACTAAGTATGATGCAGAGCTACAACCCGGAAGCACACCCTCCCTGATTTAAACTACGCGGTATTCCCCTGTTCTGTCCCCACCACTGCCTCTTAATTCACACACAGGTTCTGCATGAGCAGAAGCAAGTGTTCTGGGATTCCCATCTTCTCAAGGCTATGTTATGATCCGCGCAGTTGAATATCTTTGCATAGTCAATGAACCACAGGTAAACATCTTTCTGATATTCTCGACTTTCAGTCAAGATCCAGCTGACACAAGCAATGATATCTCTTGTTTCACATCTTCGTCTGAACCTTTGGCAGCTCCTTGTCTAGGCATCGCAGCAAGTGTCATTGAATGGTCCCCAGGAAACTTTCACTTGCATGTGATATGAATGATATGTTTATAATTTGAGAATTCTCTTAGGTCACCTTTCTTTGTAGTAGGTACGGATATAGATCTCTTCCAATTATCTGTCTTCCAAATTTCTGGGCACAGATGAGTGAGTGCTTCCTGTGCTTCATCAGCTGTGGAAACTGTTCAATTGGTAATCCATCAGTTCCTGGAATCAATTTTGGGATAATGTTTTCACTGCCGCTTGGACTTCTTCCTTCAGTAATACTGATTCTTGCTCATATGCTGCCTCTTGAATTGGCTGAATGTTGATTAGTTCTTTTTGGTATAGCAACTCTGTATATTTTCCCAATTTTCTTTGGATGCTTCCTGAATGCTTCCCTGTGTCTTTCAATATTGAAACTTGATGCTTGAGTTTTTCTTCAGTTTTACAGCTCAGGATATGTTGCGTGTTCTTCCTTTCTGAATTTCTAACTCTAGGTCTTTGCCCATTTTGTTATTTTACTTTGTCTTCTGGAGCTGCCCTTTGAAATGTTCTGCATAGCTCCTTGACTTCAACATTTCTCCCATTTGCCTTAAGATGCTCTGTGACTCAAAGCAAGCTTCACAGTCTCTTCTGACAGCCACTTTGATCTTTAACTTATTTTCTTTTCAATGACCTTTGGATTGCTTCCTGTGCTGTGTTTTGGAGGTCCTCCCACAGCCCATCACTGTGTGATGCATCTGTGCTTGACATTCAGATGGGATAGATGCAAGGTTGTATTTCGGTTCTTGTGGACTTGTTTTCATGTTTTTCAACTTTCACCTAAACTTACCTGGGAACAATTGATGATCCATTCCACAGTCAGCCCCTATCCTGGTTATATCTGCAGGTATTGAGTTTCTCTATTGTTTATTCCTAAAAATATAGTCAATTTGATTTCTGTGCATGCCACCTGGAGAAGTCCATATGTGCAGTCACCACTAGTGTAGCTGAATAAAAGTCTTTGTGACGAAGAAATCATTGGTCTTATAAAATTCTATCATGAGACACCCTCCCCCCGCCCAGCCTAGTATCCATTAGCAAGGCTGTTTTTGCCAACTTTTGTTCCTTCTTTATTGTTTCCAACCCCCAATAATTATCAATGCATCTTTATACTATGTTTGATCAATTTCAGACTGAGATGTTGCTAAAGTAAAAAATGCATCTCTAGCTTTAGTGGTGGGTGCATACATTTAAATAACAGTTGTATCAACTGTATTTCCATGGATGTAGATAGAGATGATGCTATCTCAGACAGCAGGGCTCTTCAAGGTCGATCTGGAAATGCCCTTTTTGATGGAGAATGCAACACCATTCCTCTGGATTGGGTCACTCATGACGTAGTACACCATATGACTTTCTGATTCCAAATTGCACATACAGTCCATTTGAGCTCACGTATGCCTAGAATATTGATCTTTATGCATTTTGTGTCATTTTAAACACATCCATTTTCCCTGTATTCACACTTTGCATACTCCAAGTTCCCATTATGAACTAATGTTTATCACTGTTTGTTTTGATGTTGAGTGTGCCCATCAGCAAATGAAAGTTGCAAAGCCTTCTCTCCCACAGGCTTTCTTCCGTCCACTTCATGATGATCGACTCTACTTTGCGAAGGCAGCCTTTCCTCAGTCACAGTTTGAGTGTCTTCCAACCTCAAGGGCTCATTTTCTGGCACTGTCTCTGACAATATGCTTCCTCTATCATTAAGTTTTCAGTAACTGGCACTGTTTTTGAAGCTATCTATAGTGTTTTCCATGGTTAATCCCCCTGAAGTGAACGGCCTATGCCTTCCTCTTCATCTGTTCTGAGCCCGGGAGTTCTGCAACCCTTCTTGTACCTGAAAGGCCAGCAACTGCGCCTTCAGCATCACCGCAGCACATAAGCCACCACAGGATTCTCCTTGAGATCTACCAGATCATAATACATGGTTCCAGAAATAACTGAACATTAGTTTGGTGGTCTGCTTAAAACCTTGCATTCTTTTTTGTGGTTACAGAAATATGGTTTTTGCCAAAGTCATATTGGAACACTATATTTGATCACTCGGTTTGTATTATTTGTATAAAGCCTCAATCATTATTTAGTGCCTAGTTTTTGTCTGCCGTTGCATTGAACAAAATAGATTTTTAAAATTTTGCTTCATGGAATTAATAATCCATGAGTGGATGCAAAGAGAGCACAAGCATTGGGCAGGAAAGCCAACTGCATAGATACAGCCAAGTGTATGGCATTGCCCACAGACCACAATCTGAAAGGACACCCGCAGTCCACTAGATGCCTAGTATCTGAAGAGCCAATGAACCACTGCTCTAACATCCCGAGAAGTCATTGACGCTATTTGATATCCATTTGCTGATCTGTAAAGGCAGAATAATGATGCCAATTCCTCTAAATTAGACACTTACTGTGCTCCAAAGTATCGGGTGACTTCACCTTTTTTACACAATCAAGTTTGAATTATTTAGCTTTGTATTAAAGACCTCAATTATTTTCCTAGCTTCAATTTCCCAATTCGTATTCCTTTTTCAAAGGTGAGCTCTCCTTTTTCTAGCTTGATTATTTCCACAAGTTCTGTAAGAATCAACTCAAGGAAAGTTTTCTTTGTGACCTTTTGATTGTTGGCAATTTTCTACTCTCCTATACAATGTTATGAGATACATGTTTGGTATATTTATAACTGTTCTCTTTGAAAGGAATTCTAGAAGCAGAACTATTGAGCTAACCAGGAGGAATGTTTTAAGGATGCTGTTATACATTACTGAGGTGCTTTACATCAACATTTTATAAGAATTTTTATCTTAAAAGACCCTGGCTATCCAAATGCCCTATTAACTTAGTTTTCATTTTGGCCAATGTTTGCCATCACACAGGACTTTTTACATCTTTCTTAGGTAGGCCAATTAGAAATTCCTGTGTCAGTGTTAACAATTACTTTACAATTGTCCAAAAAAAAATTAAAGAGGATGTAGTGTTACTTGCAACATAAATCAATGGGACACAAAACATTGTAAGAGACAACACATTTGAAAATGTCTGTTATGTATTAATAAATGTTTTTAGTATGATAACTTTTAACCTACCTGATAGCCTTCCACCACTTTTTCTATAACGTGCTCCCAATGAACAGACATCTCCGAAGATGATAAGACCTTGACCCCCACTGCTGTGGGGGCTTCATCGGGAGCTGAAATTTGATGAAAACATTACATCTTAGTAAGACATTTACGAAAAGAAATTGAAATAACACTACCTGCAATCTGAACAAATTTAAACAATTTAATATTTCTAAACTATAAGATAAAATCTAATTATGTTTTCCTCAATGTTTAATAATGTAATCTGATTTTAGAGTTATCAGTGAAAAATCACACACATATTCATAATCAAGAATGTTTACATAGCTATACATACACATGCATAAAGTCACACGACACACTATCACCTTACATACATACACGAACACATATAACTTGTTCCAATGTAGACATATAAAAAACTTCACGAATTTCTGTGATATTTGTGAGCAAGAACCACATTACTTTTTATCCCCCAAATTATTTGTTTAAGAAAGCCTGTTGTTGCAAATTAAAATTTTAATTATTTATCTTATTAACTCTACATTATAAAAATGGAAATTTGATATTTATTATCTAAAACTACTTTTTACAATTAATTTTCTCTGACTTGCTAGTCACGTGACATTGCAAGATATTATGTCTGGTAAATAATGTCATTAACATTATTATTAAATTTCACTCCTTTCTGTTCAAGGTAAGATATTGTTTTTCTCCTTGCCCTCAGGATCATTTGGAATACATTTTGACAACCCCCTCCGCTGGGGCTCAGGAAAGCTTTTATGCATCTAATCTTCCAACTGGGCATCAAGTCAAATATGTATCAAAATGGTCTTTGTTCGGGGAAGAAATAATTTATATCCCTTATGAAATTTACACAAAGAAACTAAGGAACCATTTAAGTAGGGGTGATTAATTTTTTTATTTTTCATTAACATGCTATAATCCTATTTTTATGTTTTAAAATATGGTACATATTGATACTGTTGCCTCTTTAACTCATGTAAGCATGTGACAATATGATTGGTTTTCTAGCAATAAAAGAAATGAGTAGCATTCATAAAAGTTTTGACCCAGGTTGGTTTTATGAGACTCATGATGCAATTAGGAAATAAATATAATTAAATACAAATGGTCGTGAATATATAGAACAGAAGCTTGAACTTTTTCCTGAAAACTTACTTGAGTATTAAATAAAACAGCAAGGGAAGATATGGAATGAGAAGATAACCTATAAATTTTTTATGTTTATGTTCTCTGTGCAATGTACTCACTATCACACAGTACCTTACTCTCTGTGCAATGTACTAAGATTATTAAAATTGAATCAAGTTATAGCTACAAAACTCATAGCTACAAAAAGGCAGGTTTTATCATTCAGGACTTGTCCACTGTTTGATTATAGTATTAAATAATATCTTCTACTTTTTAATTTTGTCTATGTATTTGAGCTCTGGTGGCGTAATGATCACATAACAGGCTACTAACCACAAGGTCCACAGTTTGAAGCCACCTCAGGAGAAAGACATGGCTTTCTATTCCCATAAAGAGTTACAGTGTCAGAAACTCCCAGGGGGCAGTGTACCCTGTCCTATAGGGTCAGCGCGAGTCAGCATCGACTCAAAGGCATTGGCTTGGTATTTATACATATGATTTTATACATATACAGCACACTTGAGATCACTTATAGATTTGAACTGAGTATAGATTTCTATAGAACTTTATTGTAAAAAAAATAGCTGATGTTTTGTGACCTATAGAAATTTCTAAAATTTTCTTGGGGAAAAAAAGCTCTCTGGAAATATTGCTATTTCATCAATGAAGGCATAATTGTGCATTTACTAGACTGCACAAGAGCTCTGATAGATGGAAATCAGAAGATGAACCTCTCAGATAGGGGTGATGGAAGGCATTGAGGAATTCTGAATCCTGGAAACTCTTAACCAATACCACAATGGCCTCTGGACCACTGTTAGCACCATTTGAAAACAGAAATATAAAAAGGGGTTTCAGTGCTAGAGGTCACAGTCAGGTCTACTCATCACGCAGATGATGCAATTCAGTACAAAACTAACTCCAAGCACACGCACAGTAAGGTGATCTCTGAGTCTGAACTACATGAGTCCCTGCAAGTTTAACTCATTGAATGAGTAAATGAAAATAAAAATGGAAAAATCCCAAACTTAAGGACGCATGTTCAAGTGTGCTGGTATGTGTAAGTATTATTTAGTCAGTTCAGTTTTCTGAGAAATAAAGTCCCCTTGTCAGCTCCTCTGGCTTTAGTACTCAACGAAAGAGCACATGGCCAGAAAAAGCAGGGTGGCTGCCTGTGTTCAGCAGAAGGTCTGGTCATACGTCAAGAGAGAGATATGTGTATATATGATCCACTTGATTCCATTTCTCCAATACACTAGTGCTTATGAGGAGTGGTTTAGAAGTAGAAAGCCTTGGATTTAAGTCTTCTACTCTATTTATTGGGGAACTACATCACTGACTCCCCAAGGCAAATGCATTAGGTAAGAAGCAAATAAACATCTATCTGCTTTCCTAGCCATTAATTTTTTACAACCTACCTAGGAATAAAAATACAAAGGAAGATCTCTTCTATCATAAAATGTATAATAACATAACTCAAATATAAAGTGATAGAGATAATTATAATTATATTTAATTTAAAATCATGCTATTTAGAAAAGATGTATTAAGTCATCTATGTTTAGTTCCCTTAAAGCTACTTTCTTTAAAAAAAGAAGAAGAAGAAAGAAAGAAATCCTGCATTAGTGTTTTTCCCCCAAAAGGATTTTTCCTATCCTAAGAAAAAAGTTCACCTGGCTTTCTGCCTTTTAAAAGTATAGATATACTCATATATAGAATCCCTCAAATAAACTCCCAGTACTCTATTGTAATAATAACAACAATAAAAGTTTGCTTAAATGCTACAATTACACCAATTTTGGGTTCAAAAGAGTAATGTTACAAAGGAATCTGAATGACACGGCATTTGTAGTAAACAGGCATACTAGATTCCATATCGAGAAGTTCTGGCTGACATAATTCTCACCCACAGGCCAGAAGTCATTTTAGTGGAGATTTCATATCTAAATTATCATGGGTCTAAAAGATGTAGATTTTAGTTGACACATTTGTAACTTAGACGAAGAAAAAGTGGAAAAGTTTTCATTTCACATAATTCTCATTTAATAACTGCATACGCAAAACCAAACAAAGTCACTGCCATTGAGGCCATGCTTAGTTTAGAGTGACCCTCTGCGGGTTTCTGAGACTGTTAGCTGATTACAGGAGTAGAAAGCTCAGTGTTTCTCCACGGAGCTGCCGGTGGTTTTGAACTGACGTCCATGAGGATCGCAGTAAAAGGTGTAACCGCTACACTACCAATAAATGTATAGGGCGATTTCTCTTAACCCTTTCTACCTCCATAGGTGTAGCCTCCGAAAGCCACAGGGGCAGTTCTGCCCTGTCCTGCAGGGTCACTCTGAGTCGGAAACTCGATGACACCGAATTGATTGTAGTGAACCATGAAAATAAATACAAGATAGTAATCTCCACACCTCCCCCTTTAATCATGCTAGAGGTTTCCTTCTACGTACCGTCTTGTGCTGAATTAATGACCGCCGTGAGGCTGTATGGCCCATCCCCTTTATTGTTGAAGGCCTTCACTTTCACCTGAAATGCAGTGGATGGACGCATCGTCTCATCTTTGTGGACATATCTGCCAGTGTCGGGATTCGTAACTGTAACTTTTTTCCATTCTTCTCCATCAAATGGCTTAAATGCCACTATGTAACCAAAATTGTTGCCGTAATGATATTCTCTTGACAAAGGCTAGGAGAAATTAAAATATTGAATAAATTTGAGCCAAGCAGTTAACTGGAACAACAAAACAAAAAATAAGCCATGCAAATAATAACAATATTTGGGATGCATACTTGTAGAAACATTCATTACTCACTGAATAAGTGAGCGCTGGCAGACGTTTCAAAGCAAAAACCTGTTTCAAATGGGATAACCTCACGTGCCAATGAGCAGCCTTGCTAAATCCCTTGGACACTCCAGGGGAAACCCTCCCCACTGGGCCTTTCCACTTCTGGTTCTTTCTGCCCGGGAGATTGTCCTCCTGTGTCCCATCGGAATCTTACACTTTATTTTTTGCTTAAAGCCACCCCTTTGATAATGCTTGCCCTGTCCACAGAATCTGCCATTTCAAGACTTCTTTCCCCTTGCTCCATATCCAGCATCCACCTTCATTTTTTTCTTTAACACTGTTGTGATTTTTATTTTCTACATAATTCTCTCTTTCAACTACCATGCCATTAATTTCTTGAAGGTGGAGATTTATGTCAGCTTTGTTGACTTTCCCCTAGTATTTCAAATAATATTGATTGAATGGATGACTTCATGATCTTCTCTGGAGCCAAAAATCAAACACAGGAGAGTGCTACAAGGCTCTAGTTCTTTATAGTGATCGACCAAGAAGCAAGTCCGAGGGACGGTGAATAAGAAGAGATGGTATTAAGAAGTCAGAAGAGAACTACAGGTCACGCTGCACTTCTTTGAAGGAGGTTGAGTTTGGGGTCTGTCAGACTTTAACACTAAAACAAGTGCTCTGTTCTCATCTTCTCAGATGTTTCTCCTCTCTATGCACACCAATTGTCCAGCAAAGGAATCCCAACCAGCCCTGACCGACTGTCATTTTAAAATACCACCTAAAGCTAGTGAGCACTTGTCATTTAGTCTGTTAGTTCTTAGGTACGTGTGCCAAAACTGAAGCTAAGGTGCTTTAAGAATAAAAACCTCGAACTACAGCTAACACAGTTCTTTCGATATACTTATGTTAAACAGGAGCATAAGGGATGTAGCCAGTTGAAACTGGACTTAGTTGCTTATTATGAGTATCCTGAAGGATGATCCCAAGAATGTACAAATTGTACTTTTCTATAATACAAGGACTTTAAAATCACAATTGAATAATGTGAGCTTCTTCCCCCACCCCAAATCTTGGTTTAAATATAATTTAATATCAATTACAAAATATGACCACGGTTTTGCTCAATAGTCACTTACTGTCTAAATCAGTTTGATTTATGTAAAAAACAAAGCCTGTCATTTTGCCTGCAGTCACTTAAATTACTTTGGAACCACCATTGTATTCTTGGATTACCTGTGGTGATGAAATACTAACATGGTTTAATGAATAGGTGGGGTTTCTAAAAAATATACTACCAGCATAGGTGCCGCATACCAAATCCAGAGAAGCTTCGGTTATCAGTCTCCCCGACTCTCTCTCATATCAGAAACCCAGTCAAGATATATTATTTTCAAGACATAATCTCTGATATATAAATTGCATTTATGCCATGAATGTTTAATAAAACATATTGGGTACTTCAATAACTAGCCCCTGAATTGACGTCTAAGGCTGAGCGGTCCTGGGGAATTACATTCACAAAAGAAATGATCACAGTCTATGATGAGGGAGGAAACGGACTCTTATTTTAAAATGATTTCAAAATGATTTCAAAATGAAAATGTGTGAACTGAATCTTTGGAATTTATAATGTTCAAAGGGAACATGGAAAATTATAGTTGGGTCTCAAGACCACAATGAGTTCAAAATATCTCTAGAATCATTTAGTTGAATGCTTAATCTTCAAGGGCAATGGGTCTTCAGGATCCATTTTATTTTATTTTTTTTGTATGGAACTGTGCACTAAAACGCTTGGTAGGAAATTGACAAGTGTTTATGATTATTATGATTTATTACTAGGTGATGCCGAGCCAGTTCTCTACCATAGAAAGCTGATGTACAACAGACTCAAACACCACCTCACGATCGCTCTTATGTTTGAATCCTGTGTTAGTCACTGAGTCATCCGTCTGGTTGAAAATCATCCTTCTACTTTACTACACATGGTGTCCTTTGCCAGAGACTGGTCTCTCCTGATAAAGTGTCCAAAGTACATGAACTGCAGTCTTGCTATCCCTGCCTATAAAGAGCATTCTGGCTGTACGTCTTCAGAGGCAGATTTGTTTGTCCTTTTGGCAGTCAGTGGTACTTTCCATAGTGTTCGCCAGCACCGTAATCCAAATGCACTGATTCTTCTTCGTTCTTTCTGATTCCATGTATAATTGTCATACGGTGCTCCATGTAATACCATGGGTTGGGTCAGGCACTCTTAAGTCCCCGGAGTAACATCCTTGCTTTTCAATACTTCAAAGAGGTCTTCTGCAGCAGATTCTCCCAGTGCAATGTATCATTTGTTTTCTTGATTTCTGCTTCCTTGGGCACTGATTGTGTATCCAAGCAAGATAAAATCTTCCACAACTTCAATCTTTTCCCCATTTAGTATGTTACTTATTGAATCAGTTGTGAGGGATTGTGTTTTCTTGACATTGAGTTGTAATCCATAGTGAAGGCTATCACCCTTGATCTCCACCAGGAAGTGCTTCAAGTCCTCCTCACTTTCAGCAAGCAAGGTTGTGTCACTTGCTTATATCAGATTGTTTAATAGTCCTTATTCCAATCCTGATCTCACATTTTCTTCATACAATCCAAATTCTTTGATTATTTGCTCAGCGTACAGATTGACTAACTATGGTGAGAGGATACAACCTTGATATACACCATTCTTGATTTTAAACCATGCAGTATTCCCTCTTTCTGTTCACACACCTACCTCATGATCCATTTGCAAGGTCTGCATGGACACAAATATGTTTTTGAATTCTCATTCCTTCCAAAGCTATCAAGGTTTCTGTTATGGCCCACAGAGTCGAATAACTTTGCATAGTCAATAAAGCACAGGTAAGCATCTTTCTTATAATCTCCGCTCGCAGCCAAGAATCATCTGACATCAAAAATGACTTCCTTTGTTCCATATCTTCTTCTGAACCTGGACTGAATTTCTGGCAGGTCTCTGTCAATGTACTGCTGAAACCATTATTGGATGATCTTCAGTAAAATTTCAGTTGTATGTGATATTAACGATATTATTTTGTAATCTGTGCATTTTGGGAGGGGGTCACCTTTCTTTGGAATGGCTACAAAGATCTCTTGTAGACATTTGCTCAGGTAGCTATCTTCCAAATTTCCTGGCATAGAAACATGATTGCTTCCAATGCTTCATCAACCTGTTAAAATATTTCATTTGATATTCAGTCCATTCATGGAGCCTTGATTTTGGCTAATGTCTCAGTCCTGCTCTTACTCCCTCCTTCAGTACCATTGGTTCATATGCTACCACTTGAAATGGCTAAATGTTGGCCAGTTCTTTTGCGTAGAGTGACTCTATGTATTACTTCCATTTTGGGGGATGATTTTTGCATTATTCGGTATTTTGCCTATGGATCCTTTCAATATTAGAACTAGAGGCTTGCATTTTTCCTTTTTCTATTTCAGTTTAAAATATGCTGAGTGCATAATTTCTTTTTGGTTTTATAACTCTAGGTCTTTGAACATTTGATTATAATATTTTATTTTGCCTTCTCAAGTTGTCCTTTGAACTTTTCCCTTCTGCTCTTTGCCTTCATTATTTCTTCCAATTGCCTTAGCTACTCTTCCATTAAAAGCAAGCTTCTTCTAACATCCTTTGATCTCTCTTTCAGGTCTCTTTGTTGACCTTTAGCTTTTTTTCATGGATGCGTGACACTCTTGATGTCCCCCCACAGCGCTTCGGGTCTTCTGTCATATTATTCAGTTTATCATATCTGTTATTGAGAAATTCTGACATTCAGATGGGACCGATGCAAGGTAATATTTTGGCTCTCGTGGATTTATTTTCACTTATTTAAGCTTCAAATTGAACTTAGCCTGGTTTTACCTGCTGATACTGAGCTTCTCTGTCCTCTCTTCTCCCACATGAGGCCAATTTGATGTCTTTCTACTCCATATAGGGTCACCTTTTGTGTTGTTGAAAATAGATAGGAACAAGCCATTGGTTTACAAAGTGTATCATGCAACCTCCAGTTTCATTTCTATCATGAAGACCATCTTTTCCAACTACTTTCTTCCTTTTTCTTTCCACCTTCTGCATTCTAAAATTCAATAATTATTCATGCAGATGGATTGCATGATTGATCCACTTCAGACTGAAGACATTGTATAATTCTTCACTTTCCGCACCACTAGATTTAGTGGCTGGTGCATACATAAACTTGTATTGACTAGTTGTCCTGGTGAGTGAAAAGATACGATGCTGTCAGACAGCACTGTACTTCAAGAGAGCTCTCGAAATGCTCTTTTGATGATTACTGTGATTTCACTCCTCCTGAATGTGCAGAGCAACCACATGACTTTTCTAATTCAACATGGCCAATACCCGTCCATTTCGGTTCCCTAATGCCTAGGCTAGCAGCAATCTTTATGTGCTTCTTTTCATTGTCTTGACAATTTCTAAGATTCATAATTCGTGCAAAGTTCAAATTATTAATAGATGCTTGCAGCTGATTCTTCTCATTTTGAGTCATGCCCCATCAGCAAATGAAAGTCCCAAAGACTTTATTTACTCTCATGGACTTGATTCCACCTACACCATCATGGTTGACTACTTTGAGAAGGCAACCCTCTTTGACTGAGAGGCTGATCTTCTAAGAGGCTCATCTTCTGTCATTCTATTTGACACAGTTATGAGTTCATGAAGAAAATATTATTTATTCATTTGGGGCATTCATTTGATAGTCTTATTTATTTTAATGTATTGTAGGAAGAAACATGTGCTTGAGATTAAATATATGTAAAGCAGTCTACATACAATTGGCTACTCCTACTTACCGCCCATGTTATGGTAAGTTCTCTATTGCTTCCACCTCCTCCTCCTACATCTGATGGAGCGACATTAGGTGCTAAAACAGACAAAAATAACAACAGAATTAGAAGCTATGAGATATAGAAGCCAAAGTTATTTATAGCTTTTCCTTTATCTAGGAAAGAGGAGCTGTGCAAATGGTTCAATTGTAATCACAATTGCTCACAGTAGCTGTGATAATGTTTGAAGGTCAAGATGAACATTAATGATATGCCACAAGAAATGTGCCACTTTCCAGCACCAAAGTGTAGAGAGGCAAATTTACTGTCTCTTCAGATTGCTTTATCTGTATGCCCTTTAATATGGTTCCAAAATATTAAGTATACTCTGCTGCAGAGAAAGCTGCTACCTAACACTCTCAGATCTGCTTATTTTATAAAAGTCACATCATTTTGGACAGTTTTCATGTTGAATAAAGACCTGGTCAAAGATAGATTGAGCTATTAAAACACAAAACCACCACCAAAAATCAGAACACATGAACAAAAATAGCAATATACTTTGTTGTGAAAATATTTTGCAGACCTTATTCAAAATCAATTGTAGCCAACAAGTCTAATGACTTGTTTTTAAAACCCTATGTACTTCTGGAAACTTACAGCTTTGCTGGTTATACACTAAAGGTACAAGGAAACGCCATGTTCGCATTAGCATTTTATCGTCCTTTTGCAAATGGCACAAACAAAAGCATTCTTGTCTTGTCCCCTAGGTACCTAATTCCGTATCTGAATGTCCTCAGAAATCTGTCCACATCAGTGACTCCAACACTCTGGTTTCTACCATCTTCATGATACTGCGATCATTTTTCAATTGTGGCCAACAAGTCCAATGACCACCTTTTATGTCATCCTGTGCGTTTCTCTCTGTCCTTGAAGCTCCTTCCCAGTGAGACACTGGATTTGACTGGATGTGACCCTCTAGTACCACCTAACTGGAGCTGCCACAAGGTGTGAAGCATAATTTATCCTAGAACTCAAGGCACTTGGCAGCAGCTACACAGACGAAGCCCAGGTTGCTCCAGAAGATGTTTCCCTAAAGCTATGGCTTAGCTCAGTTTTAAATATCTTTTCTCAATCTATTGACATTATAAAGCAGAGATCAAACGTGAGTACTTCCTGGGTCCCCGATCCTTCCCAATAGGAGAATGCTCTGCCGTCTACAGACTACTCACAGCAAACAGTCATTGACTGGTTTACAGGTTCCCACATATACTTTGGATTCAAAGATATATAAGTATACCTCAAAGTGTCTAATATTCGTCTTGCAAATTCTTTGGTGAAGCACACACAGAAATTGTACAGAAACAAAGCTATAATTATATATTTTTGAACATAATGGTTTTACTTCCCAATGAAAAAGTTAATATGAAGTGTGAGATATTTCATTAGACTACTCGGCTCTCGTTATGCGAGGTTATGTGAGGGTGGGAAATGAAACAGAGCACAGAGGTGTTAAAAGGTAATTTATTGAAATACTTGAGATACAATATACAACAAAGGCCCTGATGTTAAAATAACTCCTGGAAATTCTTTTAGCCTCATAACTCATATTGTGAAGTTAAAGGCTTTGTGCTATATATAGAGGGAAAAAGACACTTTGTCTTATAAAACAATGAATAAATCAAATTTTGTATACTTAACTCTAAATATAGGCAGAGTAGTCACAGAGACATAATTTAAAAAATAACCCCAATAATTTATTGTGCTGAAATTTGTTGAATCACACATTCCCTTTGTCAGTGCATGTCCTATTTTCTGAAGCAATTCCTTGTCCTGCTATTCATCATATCAATAGTAACCTTTTTTTTTCTACACTAAAATGGAAATTCAGGATGTTTCTATTGAATGGACTTTCCCCTCCATTTTATCATGATTATTGTGATTTATTTATATTGAATTTCAAATAACAAATTCATAATTCTAGATGCAGTTGCCTTTCAAAAATCATGCCCTGAATTTAAGATGATAAAATCAAGATATGCAAGTGAGAGAAACCCAAAGTAAGAAATAATACTTGAAAATAGGGTGTTTCTATGTCATAATTGGATTACTAATTGACTCAAATTTTCCTGTTTTGCCTTGACTATTCTGTTTATCATTTTCAGCTGAAAAATATTTCATAGGCTTAAGTAACATAAAGTACATACATTACATGAAACTGAGAAAGAAGCAGCTAGGTGCCTTATATTTATCCCAGCAGACACAGGAGGACTTGGGCAAATAGGAATTCCCTTAAGAAAAGTAAATCATCCTAAGAACTTCGGTCTGTAGGGCAGTTTACAGAGAACAAAGTAGACATTCTTTAAACATGAAATCATTAAATAGAACTTAAACTATTATTTAAGAAAAATACTAAATTTCTGAATTAACCATGAACAAACACCACTTATAATTTTACTGTGAAAGGTTAAAAATAGTGAGGTTATGTTGTGAGTTTGTCTTTTTAACATCATTTTAGTCTAATAGAGATCCCTTTATGATATGCATAAGAGAGATTCTGTATTTCAATGATCTCAGGAAAATAAAAAGAAAAACTAATTTCATGACTATTCTCTCCTATGAAAAGAAGATAATGATAATTTTCCTTTTATATATGAAGGCTTAATTCACATAGAAGTACTACTTTGGACTCTAGTGTTTTGGTCGATAATATGCATATTAGTGTATGACAAGTCCTAAATTATAAAAATCATGAAGTATATAAAAATATGATTCTGATTCAAAATATGTTGACTATGTTAGTTCTAGATAATTTAAAAATAAGTCAGCTGGGGAAAACAATTGGTTGGGCAAAAAAATTTTTCATAAAGTGAAATAATCTTAAAGCATCATAAAATTAATATTAAAATGAGCTTAGCCCCAATTGGATTTATGTTTTTAATTTAGTAAAATCATTAACACTTTCTAACTTATTTCTCAGTATAATAGCAAAGAAAATGACCAATTAATAAATTAACATTGTAAAACACAAGATATAGATAGATAGATAGTAGATATATGTATATCATAGGTTTATATATATAGTCTATATATATAGTAGTGGAATCTTTTAAATCAAGTGATGTAAATTCCATCATTGCTTTAATGGCTCCTTTTTAAAAAATAGTTCCTTATTAACTGACAATTGTCAGAAACATCATTTTAACTTTTGTCTCCCTCCCTTTTTTTTCTGCAAATAATTCTTGAGCACGGACTATGTTAAACACCAAAATATGCAGAAGTGAATAGAGTCTGAATCCAACATGCATTTGTGGTGGTAGATATTACGTATACAATTCAATGTATTGAATATTACTGCTTTGTAAAGGTTTCCTCATGAAAGGGATGAATGACAAGCCCAGGTTTGCTAACAAGTTTATCTAAATCAGAGAACTAGTTTTTGCACAGCTTGTCCGAGCGGGCACTGCAATCACTCAGAAGTTACTGGAGAAACCGGGCTATACCTATTTTACAGACATAAATGAGGCCCTCAGAAGGTAGCTCATAAAAATATTTTAAAATTCCATTATTTCTCAGTTTCATTTTTCCATTAACATAGTTAGCCCCTGGGATACAGAGAAGCTGTAGCAAATTTAGCTCGGAATTTCCTGATCCCTTAGAAACCAAGACCCCTTGCACCTTATCTATTTTAACTATCGCCAGTAATCACCGCAGTTAAGGTCAGCTTCCTACCAGGTTGTTGCCTTTAGGTGCTGGTCCAACTACAAAATAATTTCTTAGACCCTTCTCACCCTTATCAAACATATGGAGGGGAAAAAAGACTTACATAAAAACATTAATTAAAGGAAAAAGCAGAATCATATTATTAGATATAAAATTAGGACTCTAAAGATAATATAAAAGTATTGGTTCTGTGTATTGTCAAAAAAACCCTCTGAAGGAACCATTTGAAGGTATTGACACATCAACTACACCCACTGCAAGCTGCAGGAGCACAGCTTAGAATGACGGATCACTTCCCAAAAAACGCTTTTGTTATCTCCTTCTTACAGTCAAAACCAAATGGTCACAGACACGTCTTCTAATTCTACATTTGGGTGCATCCAATGCACTGGTTTAAATTCAAAGAATACACCCAACTGACACTGAGATCTTAACATTCACTAATTGGACAGATAAGGGCAAGTGCTGCATTGGATAACGTCATGTCTTTCCATCAGCGTAATGAGCCAGAGGACCAGCCATTCTATCAAATAAGAACCAGGCTTTATCCCACTTAACATATGCTGGCACCCCGTCCGGGTTGTTATTATGGTATATGACAAGACAAACATCCTCTGACTTGGAAAATAGTTTTTATTTTCCTGTAAGGATAAAAAATGTAAATGACCAATTTTATGCATATTCAGGTTAAAAAAGGGTGAAAAGAAAAAGAAAACAAAGAGTAAATCTGTTTAATTTCATTAGATTAAATATATAAAATGATTCAATTAAAGATGGTTGAAATCCCCCCAAATTATGATATATTCTCTTTCATGCTTCTAAAAATAAAATTTACTGCCAAAACTAGATGGTCAATCAGAGCATAAAATATGTTTTTATAAGCATTTTAAACTTTGAACTGAGTGTTAATAGCATAAAAAATGCTAATGAGTAAATACCATGCACCACACAAGGCTGCTTACTTTTTCCATATGATACAAATGTCAGGTCTAATTTATATATTTATTTGTGTGTGTGTATACCTCTGTGTCTCTTTAATTTATTTATATACTCCTCTTCCTTTCCCCTCATGACCTCTCTCTCTGTAACCCTCAAAATCCACTTTTTATGGTGTGAAAATCACTTCTCTTCATTTTTTTCCCTTTATAATAGTGGTCTTACAGCATTCGTCTTTATGAAATTGACCAACTTTGCTGAGCACAATGCCTTCCAAATTTATCCCTGTTATGAGATGCATGCCGGTTGCATCATTGGTTGTTTTTGTTTCGTTTTGTTTTTTTGAGATGTATATTATTCTGTTGTATATATTCACTAACTTTTAGTTAGCCATTGTTCGACAGACTAGCATTTTGATTTTTCCCATCAATCTTCTACTGTGGATAGCACTGTGGGAAACAAAACGTGCATGCGTCTGCTCGTACTGTGCTGTTCAGTTCTTCGGGTTATCCCCTGAGTAGAGACTGCTGGGTCACAGGACATTTCTATTCGAATTTGGTTAAGGAGGTGCCAGATTGTTTCCCATAGAAGATCCTAAAAAATAATCCATTAGATAAATAATGCTCACTTAGAACGTAGAAATTAAGGCTCCAAGGGGTTAAGCTTTGTGTCCCAAATAGCAGATATTAAACAATGACATCAAAATTCATAGTGCTTTACTGCTCCCCGACAAAGTGGTTTAGGAAGCAGACCAGCAGAATGAGAAAGACCTACATTTAATCTTAGCTCCACCTTCCCACAATTGGATGCTAGCTTAACCTTCTCGTCTATAAATTTAGGAATAAAAGATTCAAAATATTTCAGTGGTATGACAAACTAGACTTTGGCATAATATTTGCTCAATATAATAAAATTAAAAACACCTATTAGTGCTGATGCTGTTAGTTGCTATTGAGTCCATTTAAAACACTCACTACTTATTGTTAATATACGAATAGCCAGGTCCCTCAGGCAGGTCATGGTCAGAGGGTTTGCTGTTTTCTTAAGTGAAAGGAGTGAAAGTAACTCATGTCTCTATTGGTACATATATTTTTATATGGATAAGATGGCTATTACTTCATAGGGTTGGGGGTTTTTTGTTTGTTTTAGTTTTGACTTCAAAGATGTGTTGAGCACTCCAAGGATATAATTAATTTCTTAATAGAACTCTATTCAAACAACAGAAATGGAAGAAATGAGGCCAACAGTTATCTGAATACAATAGCAACCTTATCAACATCATTGGTTTGATGTCTCTCTGAAACGATTTTCCGGAGCTTCCAAGGATAAAGGACATTGAGGGTTAAATACCATCACCAATTTCAATACAGTTGTCTTTGTCTTCATTAACTTTTTTTTTCACTTCAAAATTTGGTGTTCAGACAAGACTTAGTTCATATAAGGAGTGTTCAATAAATTTAAAGAAAATGAGAATTGAGGAGCCCTGGTAGAGTAGTGGTTATGCATTGGACTGTGATCCAAATGGGCTGCAGTTTGAAACCATCAGCAGCTCTGAGGGAGAAAGACTGGATTTTCTACTCCCGGAAATAATTAGTCTCTGAAACCCACAGGCAGTCTTTATGAGTCAGCATTGACATAGCATTCCTTTTTCCCCACCAAAATAAATTTATAAATAATCTATAACATGTCTGAACAGGAGCAACTACTTTGAGGCACTAGAAGGGTAAGATCTCAGTTTGAAAAGGGCCCCTATCAGAGCAACATGAATTCTTCTGAAATGGAAGTAAGAACAAGCACCAAATTGAGGGTGATGGTTGGGTGGGGGGATTGGTAAAATCATTAATACGTTTATGGAAACAATGACCCAAAGAAATCACAGTTTTCAAATAGATGACTCATTTTAAGAAGGGACAAGATGATGTTGGAAATGGAGCCTATATTAATTTTTGAGGAAAAAAATAATCTAATCAGTGCTCTAATTGAAGAGGGCTGATTTTTTGATGATTATCAGCATAACAATAGCCAGCACCAGAGACAATTTAATTAAACAATTAATTATACGGTCTTATACAATTCCTACTGAAAAATTAAAGCTGAGATCACGTTCTGCTTAATATATGCCAACAAGGTTGCTCCCAGTTCAAGTACAGACAACCGCAGAGAATTCAGTGGAAGTTTTTAGGAAACAGGATCAAGATCCTCAAACATTTTTTTCAATAAACTGTAAGAGGACTATAAGTTCTTTAGGGATGGACTAAATGTCTGGTATTATTGCTTATAAAAGTACCTAGGATTTGATGGAGTTTATCTTGAGATAAAGTTTATTTATATATTTTTTTATTTTTATCTTTTCATTCCACTTTGTCATGAACTTTTTGATGGCCTCACCTATGATTTTAGTTAAGAGATCATGGATCATGAATCAAACTCAATGAGAAAGAAAAGTTTAAAGATGAGATAGGCATACTTTTAAAAAATTGAAGTACATTTACCTAGACCAACTAAATCACTTGATATTAATTTGGTTTGTTTTACAATTTTATTTTGAAAAATCAAATTTTTGAAATGAACTCGTGTTAGATTCTTCAGTGTGAAATTATGTACTTAAGATTGCTAGTCAACTCATGTTCCAAGTCTTTTTTATTTCTGTTTTTCAAAATTTTGGTTATTCCATTAGACAAGAGCCTCTGGTACAAGCATAAAGGGGTAGGAGCTTCTACAGACTAATAATAGAGCCTAAATAAAAGAATACTGGACATGTGCTTCTGAATACTAAAGTTTCAACTTACATTATCCCTACATCCTCAGTACATTTCTGTGGGGTAGAGAAAATGTCATGGTTGTGTTCATTTTGTAGTCGCATACTAAAACAGATAAAATAATATTTAAGCAACATATAGTTTCATAGTTATGGATGAAAGCTAAACATCTATTGGAACTCTGGTTCAAATAAATATTTTGTTTTAATATAGTTTTCGAAGCCTGATTGAGAAATTCCTTTTAAGAGAGAACACTCAATATGAGAAAAGGTATTGGGGTAGACATAGGTTTAAATTATAAGCCTTTAAGTAATTACATTAACTAAGGTGGAATTATGTATTGTCATTGAGTCGATAGCCTATTAATGAACATTGAGATAGTAATATCTATAACAAAAAAATTACTCTGTGATCTATCACCAGGTTAATAGATAAACAAAATGAGGCATATGAACAAATTATAATATTCTTCAGCTATAATGGTAAATGATATTCTTATACCTGCCGCCACAAGGACAAACTTTGAAAACACTACACTAAGTGAAATAAGTCAGATAAAAAATATTATATGAACCTACTTCTATGGAAATTTACACTAGACAAATCCCTCCAGACAAAAGAAAATGAGTGGTTTCTATGGACGGGAGGAGGGGTGAGGAGAAGGAAGAAAGGTTGTGACAACGACTCAGTGAAGTGTGTGTGAACAATGTATGATCACTGTGTCATTCTCTAGCACCACGGGTGCTACCAGTCGGCGCTGGCTTGATAGCACCCAACAGTAACATGGTTCACCCGTACCAAGCTGCATATGCTTGGTACACTCCAGGTATTTTTAATGCTGTTTGCCTTTCTTTAATGCGGTTACCCTTCTCATTTTAGCAAACCTGTCTGATACATTATGTGGACCTTGAAGAGCCAGTCTATCAAAGGCAGTCCGTGTGAATGAGCTCGCATGATAAACAGCGCTCATTGAAACTCAGAATCGTAGTTAGAAGTTAGGCTAAGGAATGAAAAGTCAGACAACATCAAGATAATGTTTAATATAGAATAACATTACATAAATATCATAATACAATACAATAATATAATTTAATAACTATATAAATCTAATAGCATATTTTACTATATTAATATTTATTATGTGTTTATATTTCTATAATTATATATAATATCTGGTGTGTAATTATACATTAATAAAATTAATATAATATCATAAAATATAATAATAATAAGATAAAAATAGACTTTAATGGCAGTCTATCATTTGCTGAAGATCTTTCCCCCAAATTAAACTTTTCTAGTTAGGAAAGGCATAATGAAACTACATTAATTTTTTTTTAAAAGCAAAGCAAATACATTAATTTAAAGAGCCTATACCAAATATTCCATTTGATAGACAAAGAATAATTAAAAGTTACCATTAGATTTGGGTAAGCATTATTTTTTTCTCTTTATCAGTGAAAAGGAAGATAAAAAAGAATGAAGTAAGTATTTCACTCAAAGCTGTACAAATAGAGTGGTATTGAGCATAAAAATGTGAATATAAATAGGGGGAAAGTCAAGATTAGACAATAATAAAGGGACATATTTAGAATATTATCTTAAGAGAATGTACCATCATGACTTCTTGGACATGGTATGATTTTCCAAACTGCAGAGACTGGATGCTTGCAAAGTCCCCGTTGACTTTTCTCCACTCCCTGCACACTCGAACCTCACTCCCACCCTCTCAACCCGTATGCACATTCAGTTATCAATGAATGATCACTGAACAAATTCTATACCCACAATTGTAAACATTCTCATAATGGAGCCTATTTCATCTAGGGCATTTCTGATTGAGATTCAGAATTTACACTACGGTCAACATTCTAAATACCAACTTTATTAAATGGTCTTTATGAAATATACCATGATTTCCACTTTCTTCTTTCTTTATTTTAACTGTGTGAAAATATTCTGATACTTCTTAAGTTTTGGTCTTGATATAGAGTGCTCATACACATGTAAAATATACACATGAAAAAATATTTTTAAGAGGAGTCATTTGCTCTTGAGCTCATTATTTACTTCTCATTGCATTTAACTATAGGAACTGTATTTATGAACATTTTAAAGATGAAAACGTTTACTTGTTTGTTTTTATACTCACCAGCACCATCTGTTTTAATTCTGTTTGATGGTATACTGGGCTCTCCCAGGCCCAAGGTATTGGTTGCTACCACACGAAACTCATACTCCATCCATGGGATTAAATCCACCGCTTTTGCTGCCTCCATATTTCCTTCAATAATTGGAGGATCTAGGTACAGTAAACATATAACAAGGTATTGTTAATTTATCACTTTTCTAACTTCTGTTTTTTACTTGCTTTTAAAAGAACAACACATATTGAGTTAAAATTAAAAAAAAAAGAATACTAGAAGTGACAAACCATTCAATTTAAGTGAGTAAGAGAAGAAGTCCTGAGTAAATCATACAGTGCAGTGAGATGCATATGAATCACCCACTCAGTACATCTGGAGGATAGGACGAGGATCCCGCACTTTTGAAAAGACCTGGGTCGTACCCACACTGCTAGTCCATAAAGTACATCGTGAGTAGGAATGTGCTTAGGAAACTAGGAAGATTTCATGAGACAAGGGCATAACTGAGGCACTGTACATTTCATACATTTTATGGGCGATCACTATGCATAATCAATGAGTTGGGGGTTTTTTCTAGGGCACCTCCATGTTCACACTCCTTTTAGTTGGTTTTGTACATTTATAGTAAAATCCATTGGATTAGTGAGAGTAATTATTATAATCATTCATGAAGATGTACTGTTTAACAGAAGTTATGCACCTAGATATTTATGGGAAGATTATATGTTATGGGCAGGAAATGATCCTAGCTTGCTTATTTAATTGATATATACTACATACCACAGAGTCAGGTCTATATATAATTTTATATTCTCTTAAAATATTTTCTCATGTATTTTTAAAAATATATGCATGAATATGTATACAAATATTTGTGTTCAATTTATGTGGAAAACTTGTTCCCTTTTACTTATCTATGATTTATTATGTGACTATTTAGGGAATTCGAATCTTATAAAGCAGGGCATAATACATAGATCTTTAAGATACTCTATAACCATTCATCCTCTCAGTAAGTGCTGTGTTGCAGGGTCCAGCTTTGAATTTTGCACACGTTCTTTGGCTGAGGTCCCACGCCTCACCCTGCACAGATTTTAACTGTGGTAGGTGCTGACCTTGCCCTCTGCGTTCTTATTCTGCCCTGGACTTCTTCTACAGATGTATATGACACATATTTTGGGCTTTCTAATCCAATCTTTGCTTTGTTCTCCCCTGTGTTCTGATTCTCTTTATTTCTACTCTCTTCTCCCT